GGGCCCTGGCGGCCGGCACCGCCGCGCTGCTGGCGGCGCCCATGGGGCTGCTGGTGCTGGCCACCGTCCTGGGCAACGCCCTGGTCATCGTGGCGTTCGCGCTGGACCGCAGCCTCCGCACGCAGGGCAACTTCTTCTTCCTCAACCTGGCCATCGCCGACCTGCTGGTGGGTGAGTTGCGGGGCGGCGGGAGGGGCGGCGGGCTGCGCGCCGCGGCGCTGCGGGTGTCACGGCCGAGCTCTGTCCGCAGGCGGCTTCTGCATCCCCCTCTACATCCCCTACGTGCTGACGGGCGAGTGGAGACTCGGCCGGGGCTGGTGTAAGCTGTGGCTGGTGGTAGACTACCTGGTGTGCACCGCCTCTGTCTTCAACATCGTCCTTATCAGCTTCGACAGGTTCATCTCTGTCACCAAAGCGGTAAGGGCTGGGCACGTGGTGCCGAGGGGGGCTGGGGGGCTCCCAGGCTGCCCTTTCAAGCAGGTGCTTTGCTTAGCTCACCCCAACACATCACACCTCACTCAGACACCACGGAAGACAGGGGGCGATCCAGGCAGTTCCCCTCGGTCCTAGAAATAGTTCTGGGAGTGATCACTTTTACAGTGGAAGAGGTACTCGGTTTCAGAAACAGGCACAGTTGATAGATGCTGCTGTTCCAGCCAGAAGGGCAGAGGGAACAAGGTACACTTACATCTTTCCCTTAAGAAGTATGACATGGCTGAAACAGACCCTCTCCCTCAGAGCATGGCAATGCACTTGTTGGCACCAGCCTTGCTGCATCCCAGCTGCAGCACAAGGCAGAGAGAGATCTTGCCGCGAGTACCAAATTCTCAGGCAGAATTAGGTGTATACAGCTCACTGTGGCTCAAAAGTGGCAGAATAAGTGAACATCTTTCAAAGGACGCAAATGCTATTTCTATGTAACAGCCACAGAAAGAGCTATAGCCTTGCCTCAGCCGTGCAGCATGTTGGTGACCAAAAAAGGAGGAAACTAGACTTTGCAAAATCTTCTACACCCACTTTTTGCTTATCTTTCAGCCCCTCGGTCCATCCACATTTCCTTAAAATGTTAATTTAGTGTGATTTAGAGTGAGCAATGAAGCTAAGAGGCAATGGTACTTTTTCTGGAAGCAGTACAAAAAGAGACCACAAGATCATTTTAACAATTTATATGCAACTTTGTTTTACCAACTTCTTTTTAAAAGAGGGAGAAGAAATGAACAGATTAATTCTTAGTCAACACTTACAATTCCTTTATTTTCTAGGTTCTGAATTAGCCATGAATTTTGTTTTTATAAACCAAACTCTCATGACTACACACATAGTATAAATATATATAGACTGGATGGTTTCAGAAACAAATGGGAACTGGTCATAATAAGTGAAAAAAAACAGCCACTTTAAAACACTTCAAATTAATCCTCCATATAAAAATCCCTCCCCAAACAAGAGTACAGAAGCTGCCTGTTGGGTTAGGGCAGTATAAGAACATATGAACAGGAATATAAGGAGATCTAAATTATTCTCTATCCCAGTGAAAACTGTAACCTTCCTACAAGGCTGCTTCTGAAATCATTAGTAGCTTTGTCAAGGAATGCAAAATCAGACTCGATTCAAACTCAGTATTTCTCAGCTGTGTGGGTATTCTATCCAAACAGCACTGGCTTTAGAGATCAAGATCCACAGACTGGGGCAGTAAGGATGAATCCTACACAGAACTCAGGCTTGAGGACTTCATATTCCAAAACACTGTGTGGCCACTATAGAGATGTGAAGACTGAATTCCAGTTCATTATATGAATATTGTCCAGTACACCAAGGAATTAGAATACGAAGAAGCAGAAGAACTCAATTTTAAGTTTCTACTGAATTCTATTGGTGATACAATTTACTCAGTAATACTGACGTACTATTTTTTTTTGCACCTTAACTTCTCTATTTTCTAAGTAAGGGAAATTAGTCACTTTTCCTGTAAAGCACTTGGCAAACCACAACACTATCGATACATCTTAATTGCAGATCAGAGTTCTGCAAGTACTTCATAAAAGAATGAAATTAAGGGTATCAAACAGAAGTAAAAGCTGTTAGCCATTAATTTTTTTTGGTGTGATTTTCACATTAAGATAAAAAGGCTCTCGCTCTCTCTACAAAGCAGAAAGAACTTCCATGGGTGTTCTATGAATTCAGATCCTTTTATGTATTTTAAATTTAAACATTCTAAATCAGTGAATTTTGAAGGGCCATGCTTTTGGACATTCTGCAGTGTGTCACAGCTAATGCAACTGACTATGTAAACAGCTGCTGACAACCAGTTTGAGGAACAGCAGTGGTTATTTGCTTTGGAAAAGCCTTGGTCTTCCAGCTTTTAAGGTCCAATGCCTGTTCTCAGAACATATGTCACCTTAATAATGTTTGTTGAAATCAGTGTTTCAGAAATAACTTTTTTGGGGTACTGGTAAGCTTAGTGTAACCCTCATCCCAAAACCAATATATTATCAGCCCTCACAAGTGACAGAGGGAAGAGGGAGCATATTCCAAGATAGCCACGTAACTGTTCGAGATACTAGTAATATATGTGACTTAACTTTTCTCTCTCTCAGGTCAGTTACAGGGCTCAGAAAGGGGTGACCAGAAATGCAATACTGAAGATGATCACTGTATGGATTGCTGCTTTTCTTCTCTACGGTCCAGCCATTCTCAGTTGGGAGCACATTGCCCAAAAGAGCATCCTCCCTGAAGGAGAATGTCATGCAGAATTCTTTTACAACTGGTATTTCCTAATGATTGCTTCTACTATTGAATTCTTTACACCTTTCATCACTGTTACATATTTTAACTTCAGTATTTACCTCAACATCAGGAAACGCGCATCCCTCAGAAACGAAAACCTATCACCTGGTCAAGAGGACTGTGAAATGAGTTTCCAGGGGACAAAAAGGGAACACACTGTATTTTTTGTAAAGCCTGCTAACAGACACAAACATGAGAAAAGAGCAAGCAGCCTTTCTCCCCCCAAAAAGGCTTCAAGGCTCGACCTACATAAGCTTAAAAATCAGTCATTAAGTCTGAATATCAATCAAGACCTTCCACCACTTCAGATGGAAGAGACCAAGCCTCATAGGAATGATTTCTACAAAACTACAGAAAGCATATGCAATGCCACCAGCAGAGTGGACACTGCTAACACTATGGCAAATAGACTTTCCCGGGATAAAAGAGTAGCAAAGTCTTTAGCAATTATTGTCTGTGTGTTTGGTTTGTGTTGGGCTCCATATACACTTCTGATGATCATCAGAGCAGCTTGCCATGGGCACTGTGTGCAGTATTCACTTTATGAGACTTCATTTTGGCTTCTGTGGGTGAATTCAGCCATTAACCCTGTTCTATACCCACTGTGTCACATGAGCTTTAGGAAAGCCTTTATAAAACTCCTGTGTCCAGGAAAAGCCAAAATTCATCCTCATATTTTTATGTGAAAAAAGATAGTGTGAAGCCTGACAATGAGTACGTCTTGCTTTCAGTGGGAGCATAAACTGGCTAATATTCACCTGCAATTATTAAGTGCAATGTGCACTGGGTAGTTTATGGAATACTGGTAAGTAGTTACAAGTGCAGACATTTATGAATGTATAAAATAGTTGTCCATGTGGCTAGAGAAGTCACAGCAATGAAAGATAACTTCTCAAAGCTCTTTGGGGAATTATGCCAATTATTGTCTGGTAATGGTGTACTAGTGTTAAAGTTCTGAAGAGGGAATAGAACATTCACAGACAATAATTAGGAGTTCAGGCTCTCTTACTTTTAATAACTGTAAATATTGCTGGTAAGGAATTTAAAGTGTTAACCTCAGACCTGATATATTTTACCCCCAAACCCTAAGGTGCCAAGGGTCTTGGCTGTTAAGAGTACTATGTTTTTCCCACCGTGGAAGAGGCAAGCCGGACCAATGCAAAAAGCTAAATACTGGTGTCCAGGGAAAGCATGGGACCATAAACACCATGGCACCAGAACAGCTGGGTTGCCAGAGAAGCTGAGCAGTTGTAGCAGGTAAAGGAGCACTGATTTGAATGGAAAAGGTGGTTGAAATTTTTAGTAGAACCAAGTTCAGGGACAGGAATATAAAAGGGTTTTAAGCTTTGTGACAGCAGATGTGAGAATTGAGAGTTTATACACTGGAAGAATTTCACCATAAGCTTCCTCCCTCAGCTATGACTTCCTGCCTCCTCCAGGATTCTGCATGGGCAGGAATCTACTCAAGTCAAATGTCTAATCCTTACAGGACTGACACAGGTACTCTTCTATCTGTTGCTGTAAAAGCACAGAGTAAGCATAATTAGTCTATCATATCTATGACAGACAGATCTTGGTATAGACAGAGCTTTAGGTTAACTGCCCTTGGAGTAATTTTTAAAACATTTCCAATTAGACTTTTACTAGTTCTGGCTACTTCTGAAAGGAAAAAATATGTTTTCCCCTACTCCACCTATTGGATCTATCCATCCATCAAGTCAGCAGTCAAAAAAGTATTACTTGAAGTGTTTAGACCATCCATCATGAGTAGCATGACTCAAAAAAAAGTCTTAAAATTTACAGCCTTGCTATTGACCATGAGTGTGAAAAACAATGTAAACACCTACATCCTGTGTCTGCCATTCTGCCTCTGCCGAAGTCACACAGCTAGATCCTGAGTTTTGACTAATTTGTCCCACAAGAGGTATCAATTTGAACATCACTAGCAATACAATTTTGTTTCACCATGTTAAACTTAAGTAGCTTAACAGACACTTTCCTTGGCTGACAAGTGAGAGCTATTGAACAGCCATGGTTGTCCATTGCCACAGCCAAAATGCATGTTAGTACAGTTGATCTTAAAATTTACAGACAGTATTTTGTTTGCTTTGTAAAATTTCAATAAACATAATCAAGAACTGTGAAAGAGTCATAACTTTGTAGCCTTAACAAGTGGTACATGAGAAAAAGCATTAGCCTACAACATTTGGGTAACTGCAATTGAAACTGCAAAACCATTATTCAAAGACAATTCCTAAATTACAAGGACTGACCTTGAGGATTAAACAAACATGGTTAGCAAATATTGTAAACTAGGAAGGCATATCCCTACTATATGAGCATATCTACATGAACATGATCATCATGTTCTACTAAGGGTATTTTATAAGAAAACAATCATCTCAACAGTTCTTTTAAGAGAAACAGCACCAACAGATACAGAGCAACATTAAGATTTTTTGAATAGCATTAATTCTACCACTGGGCAAGTAAACCCATTAGATTACCTCCCCACTCCTCCTCCCTTCCAAACCAGACATACATCAATAGATGATCTAGTTGTTGTCTACTCCATAATCCTTGCTTCCTAGGATTGTATTTGCCTTTTTCAGAAAACAGGTAGCTCTAAGTTATAGGACAGTTCCACCAATTCACTACCCAATCAAGCCAGGACAGTTTTCACAACAGTGGTCAACTCGAAGTTCAATCAGCTTTAGAAATTACATTCCGTTAAGGTAAAACAGATATTTCAAAGCTTTCAGCAACTGGCATTAACCTACAGTCTTCACAGGAGTCGCTATTGGCAATCACTCTACTGCTCAGTTTCCTACAGCTTTGCAATTTAATTGCCTCTCTAGCACACACCTAGAATCCTGTAGGATTCTTTACCACACTCTCAAGATATGTCCTAAAACCATTCTGAAATCCAAACACACATCGTCTGGAAAAATACTGGTTTTGAATGATAAACTTCTACATTAGAAATGCTAGCAGCCTCCCAGCTGTTCCAGGTTAACTATGCTTTGATTTTTCTGCCCCCACAAAACAGAAGTTCTTTTGGTTTTTTATCAGAAGGTTCAACATTAGCATTGGGTTCAACAGTGGGCTCTGAAGAGACATGAAACAACAGGTGTTAATAGCAATTTTATTGTTTCACCGGTGCAAAATCATGATACTGAATAAACTTGTGTAATGCATTTTCCCCTAAATTTACAGTAATGAAGGTTATACATATCTATATAGATTGCAATTTCTCTATTTTTATACTATTTGGAACAAAATTATTTTGATAAATATGCCCTGTGCACAGTACTGGCCCTCACTGAATGTCACAGAGCCTTAATATGCAAAATATAACTTCTGGTTTTGAACATGGTACTTTAAAACTCTCCAAACATGCATTAATATATTCTAGTTTTTAGGGAAAAATATTACACTTAGTCTTAACTTGCATTAAAAGAAAAGCACAAGCAGAATCTGACATACAATAACCCCAAAAATCTGATGCTCTGTAAGGATCAGACACAGTTTCAGATGACAGTCACTGCCAGCTTAGAACTCTAGTGCTACAGAAGCAACAGTGAACAGACAGAAGAGAAATCAGAACGGGAAGAGTCACATGGATTTCAGAGAAAGTTTCAGCCATGCTAACTGATGAAACCTGTAGTTGCTGGTCCAACCTTTCGATTTTGTTAGAGTACTCGACACAAGTGTTTGAAGTGCCAGACTGAACACATGAATGCTAACTTAACTTGACATTTCTGAAAGGCACAACCTATGAATCTATCTTTAAAAAAAACATACGGTATGTAAATGAAAAGAGATAAGTACAGTGGATATCTTCCTAAAGAACAAGACCTTCATAAATTGGCCCCTCAGATTCTGGTGATTCCCTCCTCAGACGCAAGTGGTCCAGTGTGTTGTGAAAGTGTTTGTTAATTTGTTCTGTTTCTTCAGTGGACTCCAGATTTGGGAGATCTTCTCTTATCTTCTGTATAAGCTGATTCAAAACCTGAATTGTCACCTGCAAGAGAACGTAAACAGAAGTCAACAACAAGACCTGTATGTAAGTGCATAGACATTAGTTTTAGCAGACTTGTCTCTAAACTATTGGTATTTGGACAATTCTTGGAAATATTGGTAAGACTGTATGCAAAGTGTTGGAGACTGCCTTCTCTGGCTCCTCACAGGACTGTTCTGATTTCAGAGTTTTGTGGAAATTCCCCCCATCCCAGCAAATGTAAAGGATTTCTTGAGTCATTAACCTAGAGGTTAATACCTTATTTTTTGTAACTTTTGCCACATCATCTCTCTCCAGCTTATTCAATACAAATTTAAAAAGCTTAAACAAAGACAATCTGATTATGTGCTTTATAAGCACTCTAACATGACTTGTAAAAGTCAGTTGGGATAGTAATATCAAAATTAAAGTTTTTCTTGGTGACCAAATCATTACCTAGAAAGGTACTGCTGCCTATGGTGTGAAGTCCAGCACTACCCAGAACACCACAGCACAAAATGCACTGCAGACCACTGTATCCAGAGACTATTTTTTACATCTACCGAATGCTTTGAAACTCAAAGTTTTATTTTCATCTCCATCAGATATAGCGTCTCCTGTACTAGAGCACTACTATAGCAGGAAGCCAGTTCAGTTATTGGAAAGTCAGTAAATGCCTAAAATCTCTTGAGACTTTGTCCCAGAACTACAGAGTATTCATTAACATTTCCTCTTGATAAAATGATTACATCACATGGGATGTTGATCTCTACTTGACCAAGCAGCTTTTTTCAAACTGGGTAAGTTCACTAGTTATCTGCTAGCAGAAAATGTATGAGGTAACCACCTCAGATTTCAGATGTAGAATTTAAGCTGGTACACAAGATATCATATCTATTTCTTGAAATAAAAGCTTACACCAACCAGTTGTGGTGCACTCAGTGACCCTGAACAGCTGTAAGAATTTCCTTTCCCTTGTGTACATATGTGGAGAGCAGTGACAAGTGCTGTTCCTCAAGGGTCGGTGCTGGGACCGGCGCTGTTCAACATCTTTGTTGGTGACATGGACAGTGGGATGGAGGCACCCTCAGCAAGTTTGCCAACGACACCAAGCTGTGTGGTACGGTCGACACGCTGGAGGGAAGGGATGTGCCATCCAGAGGGACCTGGGCAGGAGTGAGAGGTGTGACCGTGCAAACCTCATGGGGTTCAACAAGGCCAAGTGCAAGGTCCTGGCCATGGGTCGGGGCAATCCCCAGCACAAATCCAGGCTGGGCGAGGAGTGGGTTGAGAGCAGCCCTGCGGAGAAGGATCTGGGGGTATGAGTGGCTGGAAAACTGACTGTGAGGCAGCAATGTGTGCTCACAGCCCAGAAAGCCAACCGTGTCCTGGGCTGCAGCAAGAGCAGTGTGGGCAGCAGGGCGAGGGAGGGGATTCTCCCCTTCTAATCCGCTCTCATCAGACCCCCCCTGCAGTGCTGTGTCCAGCTCTGGGGACACCAACAGACAAAGGACATGGATCTGTTCAAGCAGGTCCAGAGGAGGCCACAAAGATGCTCAGGGGCTGGAGCAGCTCCCCTGTGAGGACAGGCTGAGAGAGTTGGGGGTGTTCAGCCTGGAGAAGAGAAGCTCCGGGGAGACCTTAGAGCGGCCTCCCAGTACTGAAAGGGGCTGCAGGAAAGGGACTCTTGGTCAGGGGGTGCAGGGATAGGGTGAGGGGTAACGGATTTTAAACTGAAAGAGAGTAGATTTAGGTTAGATCTAAGGAAGCAGTTCTTCCCTGTGAGGGTGGTGAGACACTGGCAGAGGTTTCCCAGAGCCACAGGTTTCCTGTGGCTGCCCCCTCCCTGGCAGGGTTCAAGGCCAGGCTGGACGGGGCTTTGGGCAGCCTGGGCTGGTGGAAGGTGTCCCTGCCCAGGGCAGGGGAGGGTGTGGAACTAGAGTATCTTTAAGGTCCCTTCCATCCCAAACCAGTCTATGATTCTATGTCGTTAGGTACCTCTAAAGTTAGACAAAAAGTAGTAAGATTAAGTCCTACTAAGTTTTGATCTAATAAATATTTCAGGTATCCAAATCTCACAATATTTAGGTTGATAACTCAACGACAAGTGTTTGGTGTTTTACCTTCATGTAAGATAAATGAAGTTTTATCCACAATTTTACTAGTGTATCAAGAACTGACTACTCTGTTGTTATTACTAGAACTTGTGCCTCTTGAGAGACTACAGAGCAAGCTGAAGAGACATGATTTGGGGTATAAGCGTGAATGAAGAGCTTACAGAAATGTTCTTTGGAAAAGATGCAAGAGATGCATTTCTACTCACCGCCTCATTTTCCTTTTCATAAAAGTAGATATATCTATTCAGAATTTCTATGAAAAGCTGGACTTGCAGAGAAGGGTCCATGCACTGATTTGCTATCTTCAAAGCCTTCTTTAGGCATTCCATCACTCTTTTTCCTCCATGAAGCTAGAAGGAAAAAAATAAGTTAAAGTCCCCCCTTAGAGAGATCCACTATCTCTTCCCTTGGCATATATATGGCATTTCCTGATGCTCTACCACAGGAACATACACCTACACTAACCGTGCAGAACAAGCTCACTGAAAGCCTACCTCGCCTGACTGCCACCAATTTTAAGTTTTGTTAAATCAAGCAGTAACGAACAGTTGTTGAAAGCCTGAAATTATTAAATCAATGAACTCAACTTTAATATGTACACTAATGCCTATGTTGAGGAACATATTTCAAACACTGCTCTTTAAAATGACAACAGCTTGTGACAAGCCCTGAAGAACACACATTTTTTCAATTATTTTGTTTTTTACCTTTAACTTCAACAACTTGTATCTTTGATATGGAAGTTTAGTAGTTCACATGCAAACACAGCTACTATAAGAAACACGGGCAAAATGCAGACTGTAGTTACAGCCAGCCTTAAACTAGTTAACCCTCAGAAACTTGCATGGTACTTCCACCCTTAAATTTGAGTTTGCTCCATTTTTGTATTTATGCAGCTTACATTGCAGTGAAATTTTGAAGCCATATATTAGAATACATTCCAACTAAATCACATCACTAAGTGATGTATCTACTTTAGAAGTGCGTGCCTTTAGAAGAAAGGCAGAAGCATGTTACTGAGGTAGGATGGGTTACACTGCTGTTGCTTTGTTCTTACCTCCTCTCCATTCTTGTCAGTATTCCGGCCAGACCAAAACAAATGGGCACAAGTGCTCACAGCCCGGCACTGGTCTGGCTTCTTAAGAAGCTTAGAGGCTGCCAGCGCACACTGAGTCCTCAAAGGCTCATGGTTCTCCTCACTGAAGCACTTCATCCTCTCAAATGTCCCAATTATCAAGGTGATTGCAGCCAGCTGTGCTTTTGAATCACTGATTTCATCCTCATACAGAGAGAAGGCCTAGTCAAGGGAGAACGCAAAGACTTAACCACTGCTTTAGAACACACCGGAAAAAAACCCAAAATCATGGTTTTTCATGATCACATGGCAGGAAAATGTCCAGTTTCACATTTGTTAAAAGTTTCAGGCAAGAAAAAACATCATTCACTGAGCGTCAAAAATCAAGTTAAATCCAGTCTGAAAATAAGTCTTCCAATAAATGCTTCTTACTTAAGCAGTCACAGTAAACAAATGTGATCCTACATATCATCTGAAGATTGATTTTTCCCTCATTTCAAAGATTTGTTCAAATATGGAACTTCAGTAGCAGAAATAGACCCTGAATAGGATTTGGTTCTCTGAAACACATGTAACAGTAGAGCCAAAGTTGAGTGGTGGGTCTGACCACAGCATAGGTAAGAACAGCATTTGCACTGCTGCTACATAGATGAAAAGCCTAAAAATTTTGAACTGTATTCTCTTATAGAAGGTACTTAATTATCATGCTGCTCATCTTCAGAATTGTGCTACAACAGCAACTGATACAAGACAGTGAGGAAAGGCTGAGGTTATTAGCAACTCAGTAAGAACATACATTAGTATCAGTATTAGAGGAAAGATTAGGACAAAGCTTACAATGTGGATAACATTACACTTTTTATCTGATGGGGAGGGAAAAGGTTTTTTCAACAAGTAAGGCTTAAGACCAAGTAAAGAGTTTAAGTGGATTTTCAGAGTAGTTTATAATAGGTTTCAATACAAAGATTTTAATTAGCAAAGCCCAGCACAGCACTTGTGAACACTGCAAATTTTAGAGAACTTCCAAAGAGTGCATGTGGTCAGGGCAACACCAGCTAGGTAACAGGAGCTGGGAGATAGTGAAGGAGCATTTTTTTGAGAAAGCTACACTCCTCCAGTGAACCAACTATGTGAGTAGGAGGTGGCACTGTAACATATCACATGTTGGCAGACTAAGCATTCAAATCAGTAGGAATGGAGCTTAATTCCACAGCAGCTTGGGAGCAAGAATGAAGATGAGGAATTTCTAGCTAGTAGCATTAGCTGTCAATTGTTTTAGATGTTTTAATCACACTGGATGCCTCAGTGTTCAGGAAACCTACCCAAGCCCACTTTAAGGTAGCACGGGACAGTGACTGTAATAGTTGGGACACTCACCTGGGACATGAATTCATAGGCCACAGTTTCATGATTCTCAAAGCCAATCTCTCCTGCAGCCAGTGCTCCTTGTAGGAAGAGGCGGAGAGGCAGCTCTGCCAGTTCTGCTTTGATCAGAGCACTGATGGTCTGATGAGCAAACGAGAAGATCTTCTGGCACTTCTTTTCCCATTTGTCATCCTAGAGAAGTGAAACAAGTCAAAGCTATAAGGAAAAGAGAA